ATTTTACCGTCGTCAAGTACAATTCCGAAAGTGGGATAAAACAGCGCGATGTTACAGAGCTCACGCCGTGGTGACCTATCATCGGCGCGGCTCTGAGACTGATTTGACAGCGCGGGGAGGACGTGTTCGCTAGCGCCACTGAACTGACAGCGCGGCACGAACATTTAGAGTTCATGTGTTTTTCCCTGCACATAACAATGATTTGAAGACCAGTATTAAGTTACAGCATTTCTTTGACTTATCATTACTACATGTAAATAGTGTTACCTGCTTTGAATAGGCCGGAAAGCTGCAAAGCACTTAATGATTTACAATACCTAGTCCTCTTAGAATTAAAAATGTTTTATGGATTCATTCATCAAGGCATTAGGTAAATTTTACATTTAAAGATATTTGTGCAACTGTAGCACATACTGAAAAAAAATGAGTAAAATGTACTGATAATTTTCTGCCAGGACATTATCCATTAATTTTCCATTGCGGAAATACGTACCATGGTTAATTTTCATAAGTTTTCCATTAACCCTAAAACGCAACGCAATGGAGTGCAAAATTAAAAATACCGCCATTCAACATTTTATGTTACAAACAAAACATTAGGCCTATTTATGCATCTGTAACTGCAGTTTAAATGCAACCATGTCCCCTCTGAGCTACATTAAACTGTATAAATACATCTAAACGCCACTTCAGATACAGATTCCGGAAATGTTTTCTTATGCTGGAATGAAAGACACTAAGTACCGGATGAAGTGCTTCTTATTCTTACCCAAAAATACAAAATGGATGAACGCGTTAAAACTGAACACAATCTTGCCACTCAAGCTGTGTATGAACATTTTTTATATTTATTTATTTGCTTCTTTTCCATTTTGCATTTACTTGTACTTTTACTTTCAATACTTTAGTACGTTTAAGATTTAAAAAATACTTTTCGTACTTAAGTACAATAAATATCACATACTTTAAGACTTTTACTCAAGTAATATTCTAAACGGTGACTTCAACTTCTACCAAAGTAATTTTCTGGTAAGATATCTGTACTTTTACTTGAGTATGGCTTTCAGGTACTTTATACATCACTGGTTGTAGATTAATAGTGCAGGCCCTGTGTGGGCATAGTGAGGGTTTCCTGGGGGCTAAGTGAGGGGTGCCTGTGCAGGGCCAGCGCTAAAGGGCCAACGTTTTGCCAAAGTGCAAAATTTCAGAGGCCCTGCGATGGCAGCGTGCTGGGGGCCCTTAGACTTGTTTGCAGGGCTCCTATCTAAAAAAAAATGACAGCACGGTTTAGGTTTGCAAAATTACATCTGAACAAACTGTAAAACTTCTAGAGCAATGTCCTTTGAACAGACGAGAGCAAAGTGGAGATGTTTGGCCATAATGCACAGTTGGGAGTATGACCATATTAGCCCGGTTCTGTCAACACTGCACTGGCTCCCTATTAAACATCGTATAGATTTTAAAATCTTGCTTATTACTTATAAAGCCCTGAATGGTTTAGCACCTTAGTATTTGAACAAGCTCTTATTGCATTATAGTCCTCCACGTCCACTGCATTCTCAAAACTCTGGCAATTTGGTAATACCTAGAATATCAAAATCAACTGCGGGCGGCAGATCCTTTTCCTATTTAGCGCCCAATCTCTGGAATAACCTACCTAACATTGTCCGGGAGACAGACACATTCTGTCAGTTTAAATCTAGATTAAAGACCCATCTCTTTAACCTGGCTTACACATAACACACTAACACATTTCTAATATTCAAATCTGTTAAAGGATTTTTAGGCTGCATTAATTAGCACAACCAGAACCGGGAACACTTCCCATAACACCCGATGTACTTGCTACATTGTTAGAAGAGTGGCATCTACGCTATTATTAGTCTGTTTCTTTCTTATTCTGAGGTCACCATAGCCACCAGATCCAGTCTGTATCCAAATCAGATGGTCACTGCAGTCATGATGCAATTTGCTCAACATGTGCATTGCATGGCTGACGCCATCTCTTTGAATCAAACACAGGTTTATCTCTCATTTCTGTTTGCTCTTTTAGATGAATGTACATGTGTATAAATGCCCACTGTCACCAGAGGATGTATTTCTCTCCTTGTTGTGTTACAGGTATGTTTATTTGTTTGAATCTTGACTGTTAAAACTGTTCTATTATGACAGATACGCGCTGCGCTGCGTTGCGTTCTGGTGTTTGTTAAAAGCAGATAAGTTTATCCGATGCTGAGAGGCGATGAATGTGGTAACACTTTACAATAACAGTGCATGAATTATCATGTACTAATACCTGAATTAATAATTACTTGACTATGAACTAATGATGAGTTAAGATATGTATTAATCAAGAACTAATGAAGAACTAACTTAACTACGACATGAGTCATATGAACTACTGCATGAATAACAGTACCTTAATTACATGTTAGTTCCTGCATGTTAGTTAATGTATTAATTAACACTTTGGGGTAAACTAAATCATACATCTAGAAGCAAGATGTATGAAAATGGCACAATGTAAAATTGTTTATAAATTTGCCACCTGCAGTTGTCACAAACATCAGTGAACGATTTAACCTAACTTATCCAACACACAATGATGCATTCATAATTAAAAACAATTTCATCTCATTCTGTTTTGAGTGATTCCACTGCTGCCGTCCTACATTCATTAAGCAGGTGCAATTTTCCAAATTAAAATCAGTGTTAGCATAGATGATGGTCATCGCTTTGGTTATGTTATGGATTGGTTTACTGTCTTTATATCATAATAATGCACTGCAGACGTTTGTCTTGTGTTCTTGCTCTTCTTTTGGGCCACTATTGCCCCTTCAAAATGTCAACTTTCCTCCTACTGTTCAGTTCCTTCTCCATCCAAATGCAGCCACAGGATCTCTGCTCTTCCACTTCTTTACAAATCACCGAAAAGCACCAAATAATATAGATGAGCTGAATATGTATAGAACATGTGTAATTGATAACCTTTTAAAGATGTGCCCCTCCAAGACAAGTCATGACATAATGATACATTAACAAGTCATGAATTCATGTTATTTTATAAATAATTAATTTAACTAGGCCTAATTCAAGTGAGACACTTTTTTTTTATTTTGCTTTCAGCCAAGTTACATTTTTTTATTTCTTTTTTATATGGTGCACCCACTTTTCAGATTGCTCTTGACAAGGCAAAACAGACAATAGAGATACAAAAGCAGAAGATTCTTCATCTTCAGGAAAAAGTTGACTCTCTAACAGATGATAAAACATTTTTCAGATTAAGATTGGAGGATGGTACGTAATAGGGTCATAAACTTGCTTTAAGAACAATTCTGGCAGTTAGTATGTTGCTACGTTTAATTAGAAGTATTTTCATCAGACAAGAAAGGCTGTGGACTAGAGACCTGCACTCCTGCCGCCCGGGGTTATTAGTGAACATTCTCCAAACACAGTTTTAAATATTTATTTTATTTTTACATTGTTACGTAATATCTTTAAATTTTATGTTGACATTTATGTAAATTAATATACAAGTAATATACAACTTATGCCTATTGGTTTAAGGTGCACTAATATTTAAAAGCTTTGTTAAATAAAAGGTGTGTTTTACCTTTTCATTTCTGTGCTTTTTTTAAGTGCGGGTGAGTATCTTAAAGTAATCGTCTTGGATATACTGGTGCAAAATAAGAATCACCTTGGTGGATGTTAATTGGTATTTTAGATAATGACTTTTGTGACGGTGTTTCGTTCCTGAATGAATCAACCGTTTAAGTGATTTGGTTCAATCGCAATGACTCACTTCTTAACAGTGACTTGCTGCCACCTACTGGCGGTTTTAATTTCACATTTAAAGTATATTTTCATTTTTTTAAATTATTTCAAATATCAGTATTCAATGTTTTATGTTTA